TTAACTGTTGTTTCCATCATGAATGACTTGCCTGCATGTGTGGTTTAATATCTATTTATGGTCTTTGTTTCAGGAACGGCTTAGTCATCCTGGGAGTAGCTTCTGGATAAAGGGATGGTTCTTATCCTGCCCCTTCACACTCTGCTATTCTTTCTTCTGCTTCTGCCATGGGATATAGGACATTCTCCAACAAAGGCAGACCCCTTGACCTTGGTCTTAACAACTGTAAGAAACACATTTCTATACTTTATCAATTACTCAATTTCAAATATTTTGTTACTGAAGCACAAAATAAATGCTCTGTAGCATTATTTATACTCCAATGAACAAAATTTTAGGTTGATAATGCATACTGAAAAAAAATGTAGATAGGTCTGTACTGTTGTGTCCTGTGTCTTACACTGAGAACATCTGGGTAATCAGTTTATGATGGGTATGTGTTAATATGATTGATAAGACCTTGCAGATATGTGGTCTGCATGCATCCTTTGTCACATTTATTTGCAGTCACTGGTCTTGCTATATACCCTCATACAGGTATGAAGTATTTATTTATCAGAATTCAGAACAACAACTTACACAAGGCTAAATAGGACTGCTGTCTTCTGGAGTATCAACTTAAGACATGAAAATATTTATTTTCCTAACAATTGGGTTCCAGAGTAAGTATATATGATGGTGAGCAGTCAAATTATGCTTCTTTTGACACATTTTTTCTCTTTTTTCTAAAGTGTATGCTATGGTTACAGTTGGAAAATTATGTGCTGGACTCATTTACTTCAAGGGTTTCCCACACCCTCCATTGCCATACTATTCATCATTAATTGCATTTGTTTCCAAGCACTTCCTGGGAAGACAGCTATTTGTCACTTGCCGGTGATGTACCATCTGTTCACAGAAAATGAAAGTCATGAAAAATGCAAGTTTTCCGGAGGAGAAAGGAAAGCGTGTTTGAGAGGAAACCAGAGATTTACACGAATGTAAGCACATGCTCGTGGACACGGGCTTCCCAGATAGAGGGTATGGCTCTCAGCGGGAACAACAGCTTAGAGACAGTTTGACTAACTGTTTCGTGAATTTTCCCTGACTGCTGCGAGCAAACATCGATGCTCCCCATTTGAGGTACCAAAGACAGGCCAATGTAATGTTCCCTCCCGAGTCTAGCTTTGTGAAATGATGAGTTCATTATTTGGTTTACTTGGAGAAGCAATGGTGACGGGTTTTACTTACAGGACCATAGGTGATGCCAAAACAGCCGAGTCATTTAAAATTCCTACCCCAGCATAGATGTTGGCTTCTGCAGCTCTACACAGATGGAGCCCCAATTTCAGTTAACTTTATACTTTTACCCTCTGTAAACTTGAGCTCCTCTCTAGATAATTTGTAGCTGGGCAAGACTTATGAACAGCTGGCCAAGAGGTTCAAGGGGGCATGGCTGGAACTTCCAGTGAGAGCCTAATAATGCTCTCAGTCCTTTCCTTCCACAAAAGGTTGTCAAGAGGCCTGATCGTGAGAGTTTTAGAGTTTTTTTTATTATCAATTTATTTATTTATTTTACATGCGACTGCAGTCTTCCCTTCTTCCTCTCTTCTCCCTCCCTCCATCCTCCCCTCCACCCTTCCCAATATACCCCTCCTCCATAATCTCTCAGAAAGGGTTAGGCATCCCATGGGCTTCAGCAAAGCATGGTATATCAAGCTGCCATAAGACAAAGCCTGTATTCTGGCTGGGCAAGGCAATCAAGCATGAGGTACAGTTGTCAACAGCCAGTCCAAACACAGGGAATAGCCTCTGCTTCCGTCGTTTGGAGTCTCACATATAGAACAAGCTACAGATCCACTGCCGAACATTGGGCCTTACTCCTGGAGTCCTGCTGAGGAGAGAGAGAACAGATTATAGGGAACAAGGCCATGAACATGTCAGGAAAACCTGCAGAAACCACTGGCCTGTCTCATGAGAATTCACAGAATTTGAATCAACAACCAGGGAGCCTAGATGGGACCTACCTAGACCCTCTGCATATATGTGACAGTTCTGTAGCTTGGGCTATATGTCTGATGAAGATGGTAAAGGCTGTTATGCCAGGGGCAGTTCCACAACATTAACACACAGTGTTCACTGCCCACTGAGCATTTCCCAGCAGCATTAACTGTAGCACCAACACAGTAATTTAGGGTTTGAGTCTGTGGGAGGCCAACCAACTGCCTGTTCCCCAAAGCAGCTTCCAGGAAAAATAACAAGTAAGGGTTACATTGAAATTCAAGATTAAGACAGGCATTTTAGATTACTTTCAAAAAGCAAAGTAAGTAGAAGCTTAAAGCAGTACTGGCTACAAAGTGGAAGTGGAGGGTATGAAATATACAATTCTTTAAAACATGATCGCAAGTTGGAAACACTTTTGATTTTTAGTCTGATCTCAGGAAGTGGAAGTGAGCATGTGTCCCATGGTCTTCATCAATTATTTAGAGGGGAAAACATAGGTATAAAAGGTGGATTTAAGAGCACCCAACAGAAAGGTAAAAAAGAAATTGCCAGAAAATAGTGAAGGCAGTAAGCCTCTCACCAATACATGGTCATCCATCAGTAGTTACAAGTTCATCAGCCTCATAAATCACTCATTAGTTCAGCCTGATATAATCACTCATTAGTTCAATCATTCATGCATTCATAATTTTAGTAATTACTGTGGATAAGAATTTTTTTGAAGTCTTCTTAGCAAGATTGTGTTCACTAATTCATAGAAGTAAATGAATTCTTAATAAAGGTAATGCCTTAATTAAGCATTTACTACATGCCAGAAAATATTCAAGAGACTATTAACAAGAAAAACATTTATTAATCTAACAATGACAAAACTTAGTGATTGTAAGGAATGAAGAGCTGGGACATGAATGGGACTGGGGGGGTGGGGTGGGGCAGAAAGTAAATAAGTAGATAGTGAGTAGAAGGTATCAAAATACAGCCAGATTGGAGGAGTAAGTGTAAATGCCATAAGGTGTAGAGAGGTGAGGATAATAGAGATTTACTATATGTTCATAAATAGTTAAAAGGGAAAATTTGAATGTCTCCAAAACAGAATAATAATAAGGGTTTGAGTGGACAACAATGTTAATTAGACTGATATGATCATTATACATTGTATATAAATACTGAAGTGTACATACATATTTATACAATACATGTGTTCCATTGTGAATATTAAACAAATGAAAAGATGTGAAAGTTAACAATTACTTGTAGCTGATCCAAGGTGATAAGAATGATGTGATGAGAGAAAAAGACAAGTCCTTGATGATTCAGCTGTCTCTAAAGAAATAGAGGATAAAGTATTCCAGGCTTGTGAGATAAGCCGCGTGAACTGTGGATGCCACACTGAGGTGTTTAACCTATTTCTGTGGTGTGGTAACTGTCTCTTTCATCTGAAAAAAAAAGCCTCCCTCAAAGAAACTCCTTTTCTCCCATGTTTATTCTGATGGTACTGCCAGGGTACACTCTCCCAGTGTTCACATGGCCCAAAACAATTCAACTTTCAAGGCTTTTTGAAGTGTCACTTGGTTTATGGCAAACTCTATTTTCCAGTTTGAAGCAGTTGTTCTCAATTTCATTCCTCAGCATCCGTATTAATTTTTAAAATCTTTGTCCATTTAAAATCTATATGTCAGAGACACCATGCCTAAGCACAGGCCATACCTGCTAGATGAGGCAGGCCTCAGCCTCTAGACTTTTCCCACTCTCAAGGTTTCTTCCAGCAAATACCTCCTGTCCCTACTTTCCACCCCCTCCACAACCACAGACCCTGCCTCCAAAAGAACAGGTATGCATGCTACCCCTGCAGAAATCCTCCAATGTTTCTTCTTCCTCAGGCAGATACACCCTGCCCAGTCACAGGCCCTGCCCCCCAGGAGAACAGACCCTGCCTTACAGAAGACCAGGTAGGCCACACAGCCTATTCCCAGTCTCTTCCTCCCTTCCTCATCACCGTATCCCAGGCACAAACTTGAAAGTTTACTCCTTGCTGGATGAGAGGCTACAAAGACCACCTGCACTCCAGCCACTAAGCTGGGCAGAGACTTCATGTTGGACGAGAAGACAAGAAGTCCACCATAACTTGTGTCTTCAACTCAGTTGGAGACCTCCTGCTTGACAAGAGACTATGCCAGCCACCAGAAGTCCAGTCTCCAACTCAGATGTAGACTATCTCCTCAATCACAGACCATGCAAGCCAGAGGACCAGAGAGAAAACAGAAACCATGGAGCACAATCCCCATCCAACAAAGACAAAATAAGACATAGGCACCTAGACATATAATCAGCACAAACCCAGATGCCTAGACACCAGAGTAAGAACACAATCAATAACAGGCAGTGCAATATATCACCACCAGATCCCAGCTATCCCAGTATGGCAAGTCCTGAATATTCCAACACAGCAGAAACACAAGAAAATGATCTTAAGATCAACTTTATGAAGATGATAGAGGTCTTCAAAAAATTAAGTGAATAAATCACTTAGGGAAATCCAGGAAAGACAAATAAAAAAAATTGGAGGAAATAAGTTTAAAGAAATTCAAGAAAATGAAGGTAAAAAAGAAAACAGTTAAAGGAAATGAATCAAAGTGTTCAAGACATGAAAATGGAAGTAGAAGGAATAAAGAAAATGCAAACTGAGGAAATGCTGGAAATGGAAAATCTAGGTATGTGAACAGGGACTACAGATGCAAACATCACCAACAGAACACAAGAAATGTAAGAGAGAAAAAAAGCATTGAAGATGTGATAGAAGAAATAGATTCATCAATCAAAGAAACCATTAACTATAAAAAACTCCTGGCACAAAACATCCAGGAAATCTTGGACAAGAAAAGACCAAACCTAAGAATAACAGGAATAGAAGAAGAATCCAAGATCAAAGGTCCAGAAAACATTTTCAACAAAATCATAGAAGAAAATGTTCCTAACCTAAAGAAGGAGATGTCTATAAAGGTACAAGAAGTAGCTTTTCGCCAAGATGGCGCCGAAAGCGAAGAAGGAAGCTCCTGCCCCTCCCAAAGCCGAAGCCAAAGCGAAGGCCTTGAAAGCCAAGAAGGCAGTGCTGAAAGGCGTCCACAGCCACAAAAAGAAGAAGATCCGCACGTCACCCACGTTCCGGCGGCCCAAGACCCTGCGGCTCAGGAGGCAGCCTAAATATCCTCGAAAGAGCACGCCCAGGAGAAACAAGCTTGACCACTATGCCATCATCAAATTCCCCCTGACCACTGAGTCAGCCATGAAGAAGATAGAAGACAACAACACACTTGTGTTCATTGTGGATGTCAAGGCCAACAAGCACCAGATCAAACAGGCTGTGAAGAAACTCTATGACATTGATGTGGCCAAAGTCAACACCCTCATAAGGCCTGATGGAGAGAAGAAGGCATATGTTCAGTTGGCTCCTGACTATGATGCTCCGGATGTTGCCAACAAAATTGGGATCATCTAAACTGAGTCCAGCTGGCTAATTCTAAATATACTTTTTCACCATAAAAAAAAAAAAAGGTACAAGAAGTATACAAAATACCAAATACAGTGGACCAGAAAAGAAATTCCCCTCACCCCATAATAATCAAAATACTAAAATTCATAACAAAGAAAGAATACTAAAAACACCAAGGGAAAAAGGCCAAGTAACATAAAAGGCACACTGAATAGAATTACACCTGACTTCTCAATGGAGACTCTAAAAGACAGAAGAGCCTGGATGATGTCCTGTAGACTTTAAGAGATCACACATGCTAGCCAGACTACTATACGCCCCCAAAAAACTCTGAATCACAGTAAATGGAGAAAACAAGATATTTCTTGAGAAAGTCAAATGTAAACAATTTCTACAAATCCAGCCTTAAAGAAGATACTAAAAAGAAAATTCCAACACTCATAGGTTAACTACACCCATAAAAACACAGGAAGTAAATAATCTCACAAGAGTAAAACCAAAAGCAGGCAAGTACACATATTCACACACACACACACACACACACACACACACACACACACACACACACACAAAGACACTCTACCACCAACAACAAAATAATAGAAATTAACAATCATTGGTCACTGATATTTTTCAGTATCAATGGACTCAATTTCCCAATAAAAAGACAGCATAACAGAATGGATGCAAAAACAGGATCCATTCCCCTGCTGCATACAAAAAGCACACCTCAACGTCAAAAATACACATCACCTCAGAGTAAAGGGTTGGAAAAAGATTTTCTATGAAAAAGTGTAAAAAAGCTTGTGTAGCCATTCTAATATCTAACAAAATAGACTTCAAACCAAAATTAATCGAAAGAGACTGGGAGGGGCACTTCATACTCATCAAAGGAAAATTCTTCAAGATGAGGTGTAAATTCTTAACATCTTTGCCCAAAACACAAGGGCACCAATGTTTGTAAAAGTTTGTAAAAGAGTCATTACTAAAGTTTAAGCCATATATTGACCCTCACATATTAATAGTGGGAGACTTCAGTACCCCACTCTCACCAATGGACAGGTGATCCAGATAAAAACTAAACAAAGAAACACTGCAATTAACAGATGTCATAAACCAAAAGGATTTAACAGTTATCTGTAGAACATTTCACCCAAATACAAAAGAATATATCTTCTCCTCAGCACCTCATGGATCTTGTTCCAAAATTGACTGCATACTCAGTCACAAAGGAAATCTCAACAGAAACAAGAAAATTGATATGATCCCCTGCATCCTCACAGATCACCATGGATTAAAACTGGACTTCAACAACAGAAATCTTACAAACTCATGGAAATGGAAAAACTCTCTACTGAATGAACACTGGGTCAAGACAGAAATAAATTCAAGACTTCCTAAAATTCAATGAAAATTATTGCACAGCATAACCAAACTTATGGGACACAAAGAAACAATGCTAAGAGGAAAGTTCATAGCACTAAGTGCCTACATTAAAAAAATGGAGATATCTCATAATAATAATATGACAGCATACCTGAAAGCTCTAGAACAAATAAAAGCTAGCACAGCCAAGAGAAATATAAGGTGGGAAATAATCAAAATAAGGGCAACAAAATCAGAAATGAAAAGGGAGACATAACAATAGACACTGAGGAAATCCAAAGCATCATTAGGTCATACTTTTAAAACCTGTACAAAATTGGAATATCTAAAAGAAATGGATAGTTTTCTTGGCAGACAACTGAGAATTGTTCTACCACAAGATCCAGCTATATCACTCTTTGACATATACCCAACAGATGCCCCATTGTACCACAAGGACACTTGCTCAACTATGTTCACAGAAACTTTGCTCATAATAGCCAGAAACTGGAAACAGCCTAGTTGCCCCTCAACTGAAGAATGGATAAAGAAAATATGATATAGTTACACAATGGAGTATTACTCAGCTGTTTAAAAAATGACATTATGAAATATGCAGTCAAATAGATGTTACAAGAAAAAAAATTATCCTGAGTGAGGTGACTCAGACCAAGAAAGACAAACATAATATGTACTCACTTATAAAGTAAAGAATAATCACACTGCAATTCACAGATCTGGAGAATTGAAATAAAGTAGAGAGGTCTAGGTGGTGGGGTAGAGGATACATGGATCTCCATGGGGAGGGAAAATAAAATATTTTTTATGGTTTGCCTAGGGGTGGGTAGAGATGTGAACAGGAAGGATCAGGTGGGGAGGGAGGAAGGAGGGAAAGAGTAGGGGAGATGAATGAAATAGGTGGGCATTCAGGGGGTGATTTGGAAAATTACCACAGTGGAAACTTCCTGGAACCCCTAGCACCCTTAGTAATGGAGAATATGGAACCTGAACCAGCCATCTTCTGTAACCAGATTATGCTCCCAGTGGTGGGACTGGGACAGTAATCCAGACTCAAAATCTATGACCTACAATCTGCCCTACCTGCAAGATGTCCTGGGGCAATGGTGACTCGGAGCTTGTGGGTGTGCCTAATTAATGACTGGTCTAACCTGAAGAATAAGCCTGGAGAGGGAGCCCATTTTGAATGCTGCCTAAATAGTCTGGATCCATAGGCTGATGGCTCAGAGTCCTGGGGTAAATCCAAACAGGACTGACAAAAAGAAAAAAAGGCATGGAAGTGATTCCTAATTCTATTCCACTATACTCATAGAGTCAGTGCTTAGCCCAATCGTCATCAAAAATAAATAATTACTACTACTACAACTACTACCACTACTACTACTACTACTACTACTACTACTACTACTACTACTACTAACATCTATATGTCTCCATGTGCTCTTCATCTTCTGATATAACTTTATTTTCTCAAGGACAAGATCCATGCCACAAATTATCTTCCTTTCACACTGCCAACAACTTTACCTGAGATAGGTGCTCTGCTACAATATGTGTTGATAGATAGAATAATTAAAGGAAATGTATAAAAGCATCTCCACTTAAATAAGACTAGCATTAAAATGTGTTTATGAGAATCAAAAGGAAGAAAATCATTAGAAGTATCAAGGAAATGGAAAGAATTCACATCAATTTTAGACACCTCTTCATGGAAAATGGTGTATATTGGATTTGTGGCTTGTGTTTCATGGCAATTTAATGACCACAAACTGTTCTGACACCTGGATGCTTTGGTGTTTAGAGATAAGGAGGCAACCACTGTTGCTTTTTATTGCTCATAGATCACCAATGACAACACAAGGCTGCTTTTGTTAAATCAGGGACACATGATATGTACAGGACAATAAAGGAAAAGAACATGTAGAGGGCAGTCATAATAAAGGCTGCAGATAAAAGGAGACAAGAACAGGGGCACAATGTCACCAACAAGCTCACCACCACTCATAAGTTGATAGACAATTAGATATTTGGTTATTGTGAGACAGCAAAATGGCTCTAGGATGTGAACTGGAAAAGGAGTGGAATGTAAATGACTTCCTCTGGCTTGGCCAAAGCTTGAGTTGATAATGCAACTCCATATTGTCATCCTCTGATCTCTGATTGTTATCCTAGACTTCTGGATTCATGTTGTTCTCGTAGACACAGGAACAGTCTTTTCGTTGCACTTCATTTGTTCTAGGAAATTTTGATCTTTCAAGATCACAGGCTAAACCCTGAAGAGGAAATACTAAAGATCAAAAGAGGAAAAACTAAAGATAGACAGAGTTGTGCCTACTCTGAAGGAGTAATAGATGTTTACATAGGGAAGTCAATGGTTTCCAAAAAAGACCAATATGCAAAAGCTTGTTGAATCATAGGAGCCAGATACAAGAATCAGGGTACCACTAACAGGAAGGCTGTATTTCCCGATCTGTGTTGCTTTGACATGGGGGCACTGACTTTGTGAAAATTCATGTCACTATGTAAGCAATTAGTATATATGTCTCTCTGTATTATATACTGGTAAATATTAACTTAGTAAAAAATATACTGAAAAACTCATATTGCAGTATCTCTAGTCTGAAAGAAAACTCATAATGAAATTCACACAAACACAAGGATTTGGCTGAGAGGTGAGGAGAGTGAGATTCTAAATAACCATGTGGAGGCATCTGTAGTATATGTGCATGTGTTCTTGTGAGTGTATGTGCAAATATGTGTGCATACATATGGAAGTCAAAGGTTGACTTCAAGTGTCTTCCACAGTTGTCTTCCACTTTACTTTTTTGAGACATGATCTCTCATTGAACTTAGAGTAGGCTAATAAGGCCAGAGAAGCTGGCAGTCAACCTTTAGAGATCCATGTTTCCATCTTCTCAGTTTTCTCATACAAAAATGAACTTCAGAGTTTGGCTTTTTATGTGGGTGCTGGAGATCCAAGCTCAGATCTTCATGTCTGTTCAGAAAGCACTTTCCTGATTGATCCATCTTCCTAGCTTCCAATTGCCATTTTATAGAAGCTCATGTCATTGATTTAATTGAAATTTTCCCTAAAGACCCATGTATTAACAGCTTGTCACTCTGAGGTGTGTCCCTGAAGGGAATATTGGAATTCTGCTTTCTTCACGCCATCCCTCTCTTGTTCCCAGCTATGAGCTGAACGGTTTTGTGCCTTTCTATGTTCCTTCTATGATGCACTGCATTGCCACAGGTCAAAAAACAATGGAATGAACTAGCTGTGGACTAGAACCTATAAACCTATAAGCCAAAACTAACCTTTCCTGTTTACAAGTTGATTTTCTCCTGCATTTGACACAATAACGAGAAGCTGACTAACACTGACATGTCAGAAGAATGCTTTGCATCTGGACAGCCAAGCCAATATAAACTACAGATGGCCCTGAATGTTCAGTGGTTCAACGTTTAGCTTTAAGAAAGCTACTTGTGTTCAACAGAGACTGAGCTACACAGAAGTTTGGCTTCTTTCCAGCACAGTGATAAAGAATTTCTTGAGATGCCCGATGACAGGTTAAATGTAAACATTGTGAGTAAATTTAAGATTGGTTAGCGCTTGGGTAGATTATATATATCAAATGCAT